CGCCGCCGCAGGCAGCCACAGCGCCTCCGCCCGCTCTTCCTCGTCCGCGGGCGGGGACAAAGAGAAGCCAAGTCGAACGTGGACAGACCGCCCGCCTGCACTTGCGAAACAGGGGCTGCGCCACCGGAGCCAGGCGGGCGAAGAAGAGCGGAGGGCGTTTTGCGGGGAGGAGGAGCAGGAGGCGGAGGCGGAAGGCACCTTCTCGGTGGATCCCGTCAGGCGACAGGCGCGCCAGTGCCGAGCTAGGCATTTCGCACGCGAATTCCTAGGCTATTGTCTGAAATATACGTAGCCCCCACCCCCCCACCCCCCCGGAAAAATGTAAATGTGAAAGTTATATCAAGAAACTATACGAGTTTATATTCTCAATTCGGATTTCAGTCCCTAAACTTCAATGAAAATGTTATGGTCAATAATCTGATATCTGTACCTAATATATATTATATATATATAATAATAATATATATATATATATATATATATATATATATATATATAAGTATATTCATATATAATATAAAGAATCTATTTATACAGGGTAATATTAGTCTAAAATATGGTTTCCCTGTAAACAGCAGTGGAAGGTTTTATCATTTTTTATCAATTATCATTTACATTATTACACAAAAAGCTATTTACAACATTTTGCACTTACCTGTAAACAAAGAAACGACAATTCAAGCCTACTACTACCTTTTCTCTAGTTACACCACTTCAATTACAATATATCTTTCTTATAAATTTTCAATCTATACTCACTCCTATCTAAATTTCTTCCAACTATCGTACCACTCATTCCATCTAGCGGTCCTTCGTCGAACCACGCGCCAAGGGTGGGAATCACGGTTGTTCAAATTAAATTATATATATATATATATGAGTGTATGTGTACAATTTTGTAAAAAAGTATATTAAAATATCTCGAATGTTAAGACGAGAAAATTTTCAAGACGTAAAAAGCTTTCATTGAAAGCATTGTTTTGATAAATTTTCAGGGGTTGTCTGACATTTTTCATTTCATAGAGTCCTTCTGTATATTTGATTCCCATAATTAACTATTGGTAAAAAGGGTAAGGTTAAGTAATTAATTGAAAAATGTATGAACTAGCAGTACGATTTTATGAACCACTGTACCGCGAATTATAAAATTATGATAGAGATTTTCTGAGGTTCTAATTTGTTTTTCTTTTTTTTTTTGTTACTATTTTTTCGCCATCAGTCCCATCATCGAGCGCCTTGACATGCAGGGCCCCGAGCGATCGCTCAATCTGACCATACCTGGCGCCGGCTCTGCCAGTGAGGACCCGACACTAGCGACGCATACGGATTTTTAATGTTACTATGGATTATTTTATCATTTTGGTTATCCGGGAGACGCTTTGGCGAACGGTAATGCATCATGCACGAACACATCACAGCCTTCGACGCGGCAACATAAAGACAAGACTCCGGTGAGCTGATCCGGCGCACCGGTATTTCTTCGTTCTGAGCCGCCTCAGATACGTCACGAACCATGTGACCACATCACGGGAGCTTCGTTTGAAAAGCCAAGCTATAATATCTATAACAGTGACCGCCATGCGTCTTGGCAAGCGAGAAGAATTGAGAAACCGATTGAAAGCTGCATAAAGTGACAATTTTAATTGTGACCAACCAAAAATAACACGATGAAGTTTATTGAATTTTTTTTAATGCTTCATATATCCATTTCAATGATATGTAACAAGGTGACAGTTTTAGTCTCCGGCTGCATTTAAAATTCCCGCTAATACTGTGACGCAGGACGGTCATAGGCTGAAGCCGAATAGGCTGCGCAATAGCTCACACACGTCTTTTCATCATGAACGGCATCATCCAGGCAGACCAGATCATTCGGTAGACTCTGGTCGCGTTAGCCTTCGGCTCTCAAATCGGAGAAAGTATTCCAGTCGGGTCGAAGTCAATCTCGAGATTTTGTCGGAAATACACGTTTGGGAGGTTCCGAATATCGAAAAGGTGTATTTTAATTTAATAACGTGTGAATGTACTTCTTATTCATCCAACCATCTTTCCATCGTCCGTCTATTCTTCTGCCCGTCCAATCAACGAGGAAGACCTCCGTGCGTACGATTACTGAATTTGAAAAAGGAAAAAAAAAGGACAGTGATTAATTTGAAAATAAAAATTATACTCAATATTGAACGGAAAATGTGACTTAGCGTGTCGTTTTAAGTGTAATAGGAAGTGCCAAGGATCAGCAAGAACAACAACTATTCAACCAACTGGGTTCAAGGGTAATAGGTAGTTATCGAAACCAGCTCACTTCATTTACTTCAATTTTACTAGAAAGACGTTATCGTGCTTTCACAAATGATTCAATGTGTATGGAACATAATCTCGACACTTTTGAGGTGGGAATAAGGTGAATTTGAACTTTTATCATCTCTTCGTAATTTTATGTAGGACCGCATTAGCACTGCATTTTATTGTGAATTTTGGTAAATAATAGAATGAATTTGTAATATCGACTGCCTCACATAGAACACCTGGCGGCAACCGGTGGTTCGTGACGTAATTTTAACACCCGCAAAGACATTCAGGAATATTTTAAAATTCAATGGGCTTATTTAGTAAACTTTTATGTAACTTTACTGTTAATAAAAATTATTAAATTAAAATTACTTTAAATTAAAATTACCTTCTCTTTTTGTGTAACCATCAAATCAATGAAATGAAAATTAATATTACATAAATAAATATTTGAATATCAGAATCAGTGCTCGTAATTAATTCTTCCCTTTAAAAATATCTTAGTAGTCCACAAAATTTTCAAATACCAATTTAGTGATCTGCATTATCTAAAAGATTTCTGATTTAGAACACCGCTAGAACTAAACATTTGGTTCCGGAACGGCGTTGGAAGTCTTCGAGTATTTGTAATGATTCCGGATTTCTTTTTTTTTCTTCTAAAAAGTGTAGACCGTCCAGACTCTTTATAAGTGAACCACAGTGAAAGCATGAAGCAGAAACGACTTTGAACAAGCTCAGGAAGAGAAAAGTACGTAGAAGCACCAAGGTAGCGCTGAATATTGCTCGTTAACGCGGCATGTCTCTAGGAGCAGTGGGAGCCGAGGACGCCTGACAATCGCGTATCAAAAGTGCGTGAGCAACGACCCCCGGAGAGCTCCAGCGAGACGCTTGCGTTCAACCCAATTATTCGAAAGGCCGTCGTGCTTCGCGCAATGGCGCCTCAATTACTGAGTCGGCGACGTCTTCATATAACGGAGCGGGCCAACGCGAGTTTTTTAGGATGGATACTCAGAGTTTGCGGAGGAGAGGTTTTCTTATTCATGTCATTGACTCCATTATCGTATTGTCATCACCCCGTCATTCCCATTCAGAAGCTGTTAAGAGATATCGGGGAAATTCTAGATAGATTGTAAAGAAAAGCTAGTTGTTGTTTTTTCTGCGAGCTGTGTAAACTCTCTTAGTCTCATTAAAGGGCAACACGAATAGCATGTCGAAAATGTGAAGTGAATCCGGAAGTTTCATGAGCAGTGGGATCTTCTTCGTTTGTTGGAGTAGGATTTATAATTGTGGCCAACAAGCGACTTATTTCTAATCGAGTGTTTAAACCCCAAACATTAATGCAGACATAATTAGAAAGATATTAATATGAATATATCTAATTTTAATTAAATATGCACTATTGAGACAATTGGTGGTCAGGGCGTCTTATGGACACCCAGAAGTGTAAAGTATGTAAATAGGAATATCATACCATTTTACGTCTACCAATAGAAGTGCCTCGTGTCCCGAATATTTTTAGGCCGCTTTCCTTCCTTCGTAATGTTGCATCATTAGTTGCATAATCAGTATTTGTGTGTGTGTGTGGGGGGGGGATATGCGTTCGCGTACGTGTGTGCGTGTTTGGCGAGGGGAGAAGCTGTATGTGTAATGTTCAGCTAACGTGAGGTTCTCTTACAAAATAATAATAATAATAATAATAATAATAATAATAATAATAATAATAATAATAATAATAATAATAATAATAATTTATTATTTTTTATAAAAAATTAATATGAAGTTTTGAATGCTCTTCGATTAGCTTTAAGAGTATTTTCCGAGAAGACAGCTTTCTGAGTATTTTTAGGACCGAATGTAAATCAATTTTTCTAATACAGCGCGACTCTAACGTAATATTCCTCGACGTCAATTTCTAATAAAAATGTTATCCATGATTCTATCAATCCATTCCCCGATTTTTCCCTATTCTAATTTCGTCCCCACATGAAAATACATTTCCAATTTTTAATTAAAAGTTAAAATGCTTCCAACATTCTTTAAATTACTCCTATTACGACCCCGAAATATATCTAATACAATTCCGTGCTAACACACTCCCCTCCGACATCCATCGCTATGTCTGGCCTAATATCGCAATACGACACCACGCACCCCTTCTAATGGCGATCGCAATGTACCCAAGGTTGATGCTCCTCGCTCGGCCACTAGCGATCAAAAGAAACCGAACTCGCCATTCTATGCCTTACCACGCTTCCGCTACACATATTCTTTATATATTACAAGGGGCTTTACTTCCCTCTTCCGGTATGTCACCATACTTGTGCCCTTCCCGAGCTTGTTTCTTTACCCATCGCCCTGACAATCTGCCCCTCCCTCTCTCTGGATGCATATAATAAAACGTACCAACGTAATATTTGATGAATATCTTAAACTTTCCAGAAAAGTGTTTAACATATGTTTACGAGTACACACACTGTTCACTGTACTTTTCCGTAATTTGTAAACCTCCTTCATTCATTAGACTTGGAGAATAAGAACGAAACTTCATAAAACAATATTTTGAAGTTTTCCGTTTTCCTCATAGCGCGTATGTTGAACTTTTCTGTCGTAACTTTTCCACAGTTGTTCTTTGTTGTGCTATGTAATGGCGGGGATTCAGCTAGAAGCTTCCCTCGCGTGCTCTCTCGAGCTCCCGGGCGTGTTGTGCGCAGGTGGGCGACCAGATCGTGCGCGTGAACGGGCTGCCGGTGGCGGAGGCCCTGCACCACGAGCTGCTGCAGCTGGTGGGCCAGCAGACGCGCCTCAGCCTCGCCGTGCGCAGTGAGTACAGCGAACAGCGCATGCGCGCTTCCGCACATTTCGATTCTCAAACAAGCGAAGCACGACCTTCAGCCCCCCGCCGGGCCGGGATAGTCTAAAATTGGTTTAACGAAATTTGATATAGTTCATAAATGCAGAATGTCTCAGAGCATATGTTACAAACTTCTAGGGGATGTGGAGAGGTTGAAAATGATCACTTTTTGCCAAAGAACGTAAAGTGGTAAATTTCATTTCATGAAATTATACGTATTGTGAATGTGTTCTGACGGACACCTGTACTTGAGAAGCTGCCTAACAATCAGGCGACAGTAATCAAATGAGACGTGTGTAGCTTAATTATTTGAAGTTTTCCAGCACATACGTCTTGGCCAAAAGTTACTATTTTTCAATCCCCTCTACATGCCCTAGAAGTTTTGTACCATGCTGAGGCACCCTACGGAAATAATTTGCCGGTGTATAAGAAGCATTTTCCTCTCCTTAAATGTCTCAGTGGAAGGGGTGCGTCTTACATGATGGTATTCAACTTATGAGATGCAGATGATGCTGTGGCTTGTGTATAAGTAGTTTCTGATTCTGAAAGTGAAAGTGGTGGGTAAATCGTAGACATGTACCTTGCAATTATTGGATATGATTATATCATAATTACTGTTTTTGAAAACTTTTTTTGATATTTGAATTTCAGTTTTTTTGGCCAATATATTTGGCATTTAATAAAATTGTCATTTTGCTTTATTAAAGTAAATCAACACTAGAAGGACCAGGTATTTAAACAACCTCGAGAACCACGAATTGACATGTTGATGGTCGCTTTTCAATGGATACTTTTATAAAAATCATTCTAATTTTTATAGGGGAAATTGTTAAAATTAAAATAAAATATAACGAACGATTCTCAGATAAGGTTTTATTACCTTATTACACTCAAATACAATTCAAATTAATTGCGATCTTGATGATTTGAAACACACGAGTGGTGTTCATTGCATGAGACAAAACGTTTCAATTTGTAAACTTGTTTCTTGATATATTTTCCTGATATTATTACCTATAGAGGGCTTTAAAACGTAAATACTACCAATCCCAAGACTAAAACAGAGAGTATATAGACTCATATCCCAAGACTAAAACATTACAGAACGCGGCTGTCGCCATTTTTACTTCTCCTGGGCATCGTCATAAACAATTGTTTTGTATTCCAGCAATATAAACAACCTTTTCAGTTACAAGAAATCGTTCATAATCGGGCATTTTACGGCACAAATGAAAACGTGTAACACGAATGAATAAGAGCACCCAATAACTTATTTTTACTGATTTTCTGTAGTAGTTAATAAGCGTTCACAATTAATTTTTAACTGCCGAATTTGCCGGTACATACTCGTAAAACGCAATATTTTTTACTTAATTTTCCCCCGAAAAATGCTTGTATAAAGGGAATTGGTCTTATGTGCTGAATTTCTGAGATGTTAAATGATGATAGTTGTGAAGTACCAGTTTCTAGTTCAGAAAGTAAAAGCGATGGGTAAATTGTAATACATGATTGGGAATGGTAATACTTAATCTTAGCCATTATTTGTATGTGAATTTTTATTTTTTGATTGAATATAATTCGATTTTTTAAAATTAATTTTAGTAAAGCAAATTTATAGAAATATAATTTTGTTTTGTTTTTTTCTTACAAATTAAATTAATAATGGAGTGTGTCTTATATACCTATATATGGTACATTATATATAATGGCAAATACGGAATTTTATTTTGAATACAAAAAAAATATAGATTTAATTTAATTTAAAAGAAAATGTAATGCATTTTTTAAAAAGTTGTCAAGCCAAAATAGTGATCAAAATTATTATTTAAATTACATTTAAATGCAGATACTTATCATTTTAAAATTAAATGTATAAAGAGCAAAGGATATAGTATATCTAATATTTACTTTACTTTTGCAGTTTGTGTCATTAGGATTCTGTGATTTGAATATTTCTAAGAATGGAAATCATAAATTAAGCCATTAGTTATGGATTGATTGTATTCTTAGTTTGAACAAATTAAAAGCTTTCCAGCATAGAACATTAAACTTGTGAATTTGGGGTGGGGCCATTAATACCCATCATTCTGAGAATTCACATCCTGGAGAAGATTCAGCCAGGAGGGAATTAATGCAAATCACAAGCTTGGGCTTCAAATCCTTGCTAGATACACAAACCCAAATATTTTTTTAAAATCAAATGTTATACTATTTAATAAATGTGTAAAAATATCTTTCAGTAGAGTAGTTTATTTCACTATTCATTTTGAGGGATTATGTAATATAATTGAACTATTACTGTTACTTACTTTTTTATGTTAAATTTTTGATATTGTTTACAAACATTTTTTTGTTACTGTTAATGTGCAATTTAGAATTGAAACAATATTTGAAGCATTCAGATGTAAATAATGTTAACTGATGTTTGGATAAATTCAAGATTATTGGCTTTTATAAAGGAGAGAGAGTAGTCCTGTAATTTCTTAATGTTTATTGGTTTCTAGAAAAGACAAGAAACAGCGATGATAATTCTTTTGTACATTTCGCCATGTCCTGAACATGTTATGTAAATAATGGAAAAGCATTTTCAGCTAGCAATGGAATGCATTTTCTCGCAAAATACTAAAATGTTCAATAGCATTAATTTACACCTAAAAGTGTCATTTGAGGAAGATTCATAGAGAATTTTTGCTTGAGTTGTTCATTACTATTCATATGTACTATAATTTTATAATGAGAAGGATAATGGATTCCTAGGATGCACAAGCTCTGTTTAAAAACAACAACAACAACAACAACAACAACAACAACAACAACAATAACAATAACTGTAGTAGCAGCAGCAGTAACAACAAAAACAAAATTATATTCTCTTCAAATTTGTAGAAACTTCCTTGAAAAATATTTTTAATATAATTTTATTGCGTAATTGAGGAATTATTAATTTTCAAATGTTTGAAAGTATTTAGGAGTGTGCTTTAATATGATATATTTGAACTAACAACATCTTAAAGCTAATTACACTAAATGTATTTTTTAACCATAAATTAATTCATGCATTGTACTTTTGTTTCATGTTTAGCTGTGGGAATGCTACCAGTTAAAGAGTAAGTTTAATATTATTGAATTACTACATATTTACACAATAATTAGTTTTTTCGTCACTTTAAACTACATGTTTTGTTTACAGTGAAGATCATAATGTCTTGACCTGGCAAGTAGTCTCTGCACCATCCCCTGATCCAGCTTTAAATGGAACAACTAATCAGGATGTACAACTAATTTTGACTGTGCCACCTGGTGCCAAACTTGGGTGTGGGTAAGTATGGGTATCCAATACATCATGGATATAACAGGTGGATTCATACTGCACATTTACACGTCTCACAAACATCAGTGTGTAAAATTTCATTAAAAATCATAGAATATATATTAATTATATCTTATTCAAAGTAAAAAAAACTTTTTTTCATTTCTGAATATGATTTTTGGAATTAAGGGAAGTGAGCATAATTTCAGATCATCCCTAAAATTTCAGACCAGAACATAAACACTACTTCTGTGTAATTTCTGACATTATTGTTGGGTTTTTTTACCGATGAAATTCACTCATAAATATACTTCTCTATTCCCTTCCAGAATTTGTCGAGGTCCTGAGTGGAGGCCTGGTGTTTTTATACAATTTACTAAAGAAGGAGGATTGGCTCGATCAACAGGGCTCAGAGCTGGTGATCAGTTACTTCAATGCAACGGTGTTCCTTTCACAGATGATCTGCCTTTTAGTGAGGTAAACTTTTTTTAAATTTTGGATACCTAAATGTTGAAAAAATGTTAAAGGTTTTAAATAATAATTAAATGATCTCCTTTAAAATATACAATTGAAATAGTGGTGTTGATAGATGTGTATGTCGAATGTCTTAGTTATTATATCAATATCAAAAGATACGTTTCTCCTGATACAAATATAAACATTTGTTAACAAGTGAGATATAAAGATGAAGTGAAGTCAAAAAAGGTATAAAACTTCCCTTCAAATAGAAAACGGGATTTAGGAATTTTTGTATTAATCAGCAGTAAGTTTTAGTTTGTATAATTTCAAAATATTTTTGGACAGTGTACAATCATCATCACATAAAAGTTAATTGATATCTTTATTAAAGTTTCTGATTTACACTGCCTGTCAAAAGTTGGTAATAATTTCAAGTTTTTGATGAAAATAGATTGAGAGAGTAGTAATACATTTATAAATTGTGGGCATTGACTATTGTATTATCCACAAAATGTTATGCCAACAATATGTATATTTTCAATAAACTGAAACATTTGAACTAAAAAAAATCAAATTTGTTACACTATATTTTAATAAAAATAAGGAAGCCACCCCATGCCCAAATAATTTTCTTGTCAATTCTTGGCATCTTATTTCTGAGTTTCTCTCAAACAATAACAGCTTCAATGAATTATTTTACAAAACCAGTATTTTTCAATTCTAAACCACTGTGAACCAAAAACTTTGATGTGCCTACAGTCCAAACTCTGTAGCACACGACAGCAAACTATGCATGAATGAATCGTCTTGTGTGAAGATATAAGGTTTCCTAAGAAATGTTAATCGTTACTAGATAAATGGAGACAAAGACTCTACTCTAGTGCCCTGGGTTTTGGTTGCATTAAGCAAGGCCAAAAACAGACATGTCCAACCATGTCCAAAAATTTTTGACCGACAATATATTTCTGTAAGAATTCTTTTATTTTTGTATGATTTATCCTCCGCATTATTCTGGAAAAAATTGGTATCACACTTTAAGTGATAAATAATGCTTGAAATTGAATTTTTGAATTCCATCTGATTGACCACATAGTGTTTAAAACAATAATTTTATGAAAATAATTATTAAAGAATTAAAATTACCATCTCTAAAGATAATAAAGATGGATTACTAATTGTTGTTGCAAATCTAGTGCATTTCATAAATAATGTAAATGATATTTCAAGCCATTACTACTTACCCTTCTTGAGCTTCACATTTTTGCAGTCTGAATCCAGACTGTCATAATGATACATTTAATTTATGATATTTTAGTATGTAATATTATACTAACTTTCACTGTTAATGAATAGAAATATTATGAATGTTATGTTTTAAGCATGTTGCTAGTTAAAGAGCACATTAGAGCAGGTTTTTGATCTTGATTTTCCAAAATAGATGCTTTTATTTTTACTTTTTAATTTTTATTTAAAGACAAAATTCAAGCAGCATACATGACTGACATTTATTCTGTTTCATTTTGATAATACTATTAAAATTATGTGAATTTTTTTTCATAGGCTGTAGCTTTGCTCAAATCTGCACGTCAGTTGGTGTTACTAGTGAGGCCAGGAGCTGGGGCAGATCTATTTCCTTCAGAAAGTTCGGGTTACAACAGTTCAGCCAGTAGCATTGCTGGGGACGTGAGCCCCAATCCTGCTGAAAAGCAACGACTGTCCATTGTTAGCGAAAGTCCAGAAGATAGGCATGTTTACACAATTATTTTATTTCAAGTTCATTAGTTATTTTTAAGATATTTTTCATTAATTTATTTATTATGAGAAACTCAGTTTTTTTATTCACTCATCATTCTCATAAAAACATTCATCTTGACATATAAATTACAAAATATTAGTAGTATTTAGTAGTTAATTTTTCTATTATTAAACCATAAGTTCAAATTAGAATGTGGCTATTCACTGACAGACACATACGTCTATTTTTATTTTGAATCTAAATTTCTGCCATAGTTATCTCTCTTGCAAATTTGAGTTGGTTATTGTTTTTCCCTGACATTCCAATTTTGTGAATATAAAATCTATCTGTGTTGTATTTGGCATTGGCAGAGGCATTTATGTTGTAGTTATTCTTGAAATTTTACTGGTAGATATTGCTTTCTCATGCCAATTCTGATAATTGAGTTCATAAAAAAAAATTGGCATTCACTTAATACCTACATTAAATTTGTTTTTCACATTTGCTGCTCTTGTTTTGCATAATTGCTATGCTGCGCTGTGTTTACAGAATACCATTAGTTGAACCTCGTAGACCTGAGGAAACCAGAGCTGTTCCAGTTTCAAATCCTTGCACTGTTATCCATGTTGGCCCTGAGAATCACATTCAAGACGTGAGTACAGCAACAAAACATAATCTTAAGTAGTGTCTTTTGTTTCAATGAAAATAGCCACTTTTATTCCCATGATGATTCACCTGAGCATGTATATTGAATACAATGAATGTTATGTTGTCTATAAGCTACTAAAAAAAAGTAGTTTTTGAGGCAATAACTTGAAAATGACAATATTTTTATTATTATTACTGATGCAATTCAATTTTTGCATATTTTATCTCCATAAGTCTCTTTAAGGTAAAAAACCAATATCAGGGATATTTTGAAACTTTTTTAGGTAAAACACCTGTTGATTCTTAAAATATATTTTTGGAAAAACATCATCATTTGAGTTATGATAGAAGCCTAAATGTAGGGAGACGTATTTAAACTGTTGTCCAAGAATTTGATTTGCTGGTGTATAAAATTCATCAATTTACAGTTGTTTTTTTTTTATTAATAATTACTATTTCTATTATCATTTTCAATTGTAATTTTGATGATTAAAAAGTTAATTTTAATGTAAGCAATTTGTATTTATTTAATCATTTTGTAAATTGAAATTAATAAGAAGTTATTTATTTAATTATTATATTATTGTTTTATGATACATCTACTTTATGAATATTAAATAATCCTAATATTTTTGCTCTCTTCTGAAGAAAACCCTGGCTAAACCCATAGGGATTTTTTATATTATAATGTCTGAAATGTTCACAGAATCGAAACAACCACTTGGCTCAAGTTCGGCTTGTGCAGCAACAACAGGAAACAACTACAGTTCTTGTGGAAGTGCACAGGGCTGATGACAAACCTGTAAATCCAGTGCCATGTCCTCCACCACCATTGGTATGTTAAAGTGTTGTAGAACAAAATTTTCAGAAATTATTATTTGGTGTCATTTGGTATTTGGTACTGACTGAAACATGTGGTAGGGATACAATAATTATTGCTCAGTTCTGGTGACACCATTTGGGAATATATTAATTTCATAGCCCAATACTTTCTAAATTGTTTAGGCAATGAAATGTTCTTACAATGTTGCACTTACTTAGGGATCATCCATAAAAGACATAGTAATGCTAAAGGAGGGAGGGTTTACATAGGGGCAGAGGGGTATTTCATTTGTGTTACGTAACATTTATATTTATTTATATTTTTTAAAATATTTTTTAACATTGAAATACTTCCTTTTTTCAGTCTTATACTAAAATATTAAAATATCTTACTTGTTTTAAAACATAAATAATTTAAAGTTTTTAGAAGTTGTTACAATAAATAGAGATATTTTTTCATCAATTGTGTATTGAATCTCTAAGATTACAAAGAAAATAATCAAAACTGATCTGTAGAATGTTGTAGAATACAACTAAATTGGCACAGTACACATGCACCATCCACAATGGCGGTGTGTGCACTGTGCACAACTAGTGATCAGGAATTTTCTTGCCTGTGTGTCCTTCCTTCACTTAAAATTTGCCCCCAATCTTATTTTTAGGTGCAGTCAGCATCGACAACTAATTCCAATTTTTATTATAAATATTGATATATAACACAAATAAAATTAATACAATTTTTGTACAAGGGGGGAGTATTGTTGTGATATGTAATTATTTAGGGAGGTTCAATAGCATGTTAAGAATTCATTACAGGGGCGAGAGGGAGTTTTCAAAATGCTCCAAATTTGCATTATGTAATTTATGGCCATCTCATAAAATAATTTTTGTAAAAGAAATGTACATATCATTTTTAATCAGCCAATAAAAAGCCCCGCAGAAATCATTCAAAAATCAAAAATGCTGTTCACAATCACTACTGGTTTGTTTTATGTTACTTGCAAATAGTTGTAATCCAGAAATCAAATCTGAACCAAGAAGACCAGCCACAGTGATGGGGAAAATTTTGGTGGGTCTACTTCTCCTCAAGAAAGTTCTTATCTAAAGGCACTTAACATGCATCATGTGAATTACCTCAAAATTTGTGTTTCAAAACAAGAAAGATGGGTAGAGATTAACTGATGTCAGAACACCATTCTGGTGCTACATTTTGGGAGTTGCCTATTGAATTGCTTTTCACGATTTTGGTACATTACAATATCAAACATTCGACCAATAGAAAATCCATGAGTACTCCCTTTACAGTGTGCAATAAAATTCATTGATCAAACCTGGATAAAGCAGAAACTTGAAACTTGTGCAGAGCAAGAAAACAGTTAACTCTATATTATAGCTGCTTAAAGGAGAATAATCCCTCATAAGCATGTCTATCAATAACAGCCTTGAGTATAGAAATAAAATTAATTTCTCATCAATTGAGGAACATCTCATCAGGAGGGCATTTGTATAAAATAAATTGCAACCTTTGAGATCATGCATGTTCTGAAGAGAGAAATATAATAACTTCACAAACCCTAACTAAATAGAATTGTCTTAATCCAATGAATATGAACTATTAATAGGGTGGTCATGTAAGCAAATTACAAAAGGGAGAGTATCATTAAAAATTGTAGATGTTTCAAACATCCATCAATGCTTAATATTTAGGTGTTCCTTAATCGAGAATTGGTAAATATTAATTTCAATATTGATTTTCTATGTGGGTTCCATAAGTATGGGTTATTACTTGCCTTTTGTAAATTTGCTATAACATATGTGTATTTTGCAATTGCAGAACCCTTTGGCTCCTATTCCCCCTCTGTCCAAGAGTGAATCATCCAGTTCCATTAGCAGTTTTAGTAGTGCTCTAAGTCAAGAAATTGAGAGAAGGCGTAATCAGGTAAAAGTTTTGCTAATGTATTTGTAGATGAAATGTATCAGCCCTGTTGTCTTTTCATCCACATTAAAATTTTATTTTGAAGCGTCGAGACGGAAATAGTATTCCTGAAATTATTCCACGCCGTGTAAAGTTGTCAGGTGTTGATGAAGAGAAACGGCACCAACATGAACAGGTAATATGCATTTATGAATATATTTTTAATATTAATGAGACTGTCAAAAAACCGGTAGTTTTTAATTTTTTGATAAAAGAAATGTTAGCAACAAAATGGATCAAAGGAACAGTTAAGTGTAGCAAGATTTACTAAAAACTTCCCTGCAGCTCGTTATGATTTAAACTTTCATCATGTTATTTCTTTTATATATTAATTAACCTTCATTTCTGTATTTCAAGTTAATGCAAGAATTCAAACGTGCTCACCGAAAAATGTTTGCCAATTCACCTGATACTGTAGATGATGGGTGCAGCCATGGAAAAACAATTTCTACACAGGTGTGTTGCTACTATTAGCTTTCTTTTAATTAATTATTTACATTTCCAAGGTTCTCATTTCCTCTTTATGTAATAACCAGGTTCGTAGTTTCAAAAGTGGAACTTGCTGTAAACTAAGCTGATATGTGTTCAATATATGTGTATATGTATACAAATGTGTTCAATACTGTAGATATGGAAAAGGGCATCACAGCAAATATTATTTAGACTATTTCTCTTATGAAATTGTCACTAATAGTGTTTAACAATAATATGGTATGCTCGAATCATGGCAGTGTATCTCAAAAAAATTATAGATTTTTCTTACCATATTTTCTTCCATCTCATTACTTGCTGGCCAATCATTAGCTATCATTAGCCTATGACAGGAACAACAAGTTTTGTAACATGGGGATACAGTTTGCTACACTTTTTAGTGATTTAAAAGTTGTAATTTTTGTAGAATTTTTCATTTTATAATTTTATCAGCTTGTTTAGTGTTAGAGTATCTATTAATGTTACTACATGACACAAAATTTACTTGTGCTTGTTACATTTAATTTCTAAATGTGTGGAGCAAAGTTACCATAGAATGGGGATACTTTGCATCAGCCTTCAAAAGAAACAGTTACAGATGAAATTTTGTTTTTAAATCATTGAATGACTTTTATTGCAATAGAAAATATAGTTCTCATCAAAATCCAGTACAAAAAGACACAAAATATGTATTGTTTGAGCCAAACAAATTAAATAGTATCTAATAGCCAAAAAAGGTTTAATAGTACTTACGTATGTAAAAGTAAGTGTGTTATTTTTTAAAAAAGATTTAATATATTACATACAGTTTTTTTTCATATTCGTGGATCAGAAATTCAGTAACAATATTTGACAGTGAGGATTTGCTCCACTTTTGTTGTAGAGAAATATATCCCCAAAGGTGGGAAATGTATAGTCTGTTCTGGAAATTACTTTCTCATACTCAAAAAGCAACTACGCTCACAACAAAAATATGTTATAAAGGCACAGCTAATGAATTTTTAAAATGAGCATAATTTACTTACAGGTTATCTTCAGTTCACTGAGTTTTTAAATGACTTTTAATTACCCTTTTTCTCCCTCTGAACACAAGCCCTCTTTCAGCTAGCAAAAATCTGACATTGATGTTTGATGTGAAGGAACTGGTCTGCCAATACTAATAATGTGCTTTCCTTCACAAAATAAAAATTCCTACATAGTGGAAGGGCTGCTCAGACAGGCCAAATTCACACAAACCAATGAAACTTTTAACACAACTGGAGCAAAGTAACGTTACGGTATATTTTTTCTGAACATAAATTTAAAAATTGACTTAATAAATAGTTAAACAAATAGTTTTCATACAAGAAATTTATGTTAGGAGACAGTTTTTGTTTTTATAAACAGGAATTTTCATCTTAAAACAATTGTTATAGAGATATTTTATTTGATATTTGTAAATGAATGTTAGTTAGCGATACTTCATATTGCCAAACCATTGTGCTAATCCAATTATATTACAAAATTAAAAACAAACACTTATATTAAATTATTGGAATTTGAGGTACTTGGAATATTGGCATTACACAGTTTATTGCATTTGTATTGATTTTCTCTATGATGTTAAAACCAATTTATTAGCTTTTACTATTTCCTTCAAAGAGTCTCATGCGACTTCTTGTTCTTTTCTAGTCACTCCATTGGTTGACTTCATGCCTACTGAAGTGGGGAATGATTAGTAATTGCATATTTTATCAAGATGTCTAGTGCTGATTCTGAATTTTCTTTTTGGGAGAACTTGGTCTCGCGTATTGTAGGCAATATACCATTATTAAATAAATCTTTACTACATATCTATGAGTTTGAACGTGAGAAGTTCAGAACTTTGAAGAACTAAGATTCTGTTCTGAGGAATGGCAAAAATCCCTGTTTCTCGTGGAAGAGAGCCCCTTAGCAACTGCTTATTTTGCTTGTAGGTAAAGTAGGCCCTGATGAATTGATCGAACAACATTCCCCCATGAATTGATAGCATAACATTGACAGTCGCATACCAATCAGGTCAAGGACGGCTTCTGACGTATATTTTTCATCAATCATTATTTAACTTTGGTGTTCTGTTTCATCGTTTAGGACTTTTATTATTAGAACCGTTGCTAATCGTAAGTGATAATTTTGTTCTGCCAACGCTTGTCGCTACGGTATTTTCTTACAGCCCATAAACATGTTGTAATCTTATTCTAGTATGTCGATGTAGATAACAGTTGTGCCACCAAAGCAGCATAGTGAATGTTGAACTACTTCTTCAAAGAAGAGCATGGCCGTTTGTGACTACGTGGAAAGGATGGTTTTTAAATATTCAAAATTTCCCTTCAATTACATTGCATTTCAGTTGGGGGTCCTCCATTGTTCTTCCTCCTTCGGTTGGTGATCTTCGTCCCGGAATGATATTTGAATGTGCGCGGGATTATTTCATTTTGAGAGGAGCCGTTGTAGCCCTTTTACAAGGTAATTGAGCGTGATGACAACAGTGAATAAACGTAGGTTGTCTCAAGTCTCAAGTTGCGTATGTGAATGAAGCAATATACACTATATCTATGACTCATCCTCTAAATGTGAAATCCGGATATTACGTGAAACTGACATGTTATGTCATTTGTCATTCGTGGTTCTACAGGCACTTCTCGACGTTTTATCTCGCACGAGAATGTCGCGCCATGAATCGGACCTATTATGGATTTTGTTCGAACTTTTGATTTCTATGGTTATCGACTTGAGCTCAAATTCCACGAGCTTCAAATTCTTCTCTTAATGATTTTTCTATGAATGAATGAGAACTGGGAAAATGGCTCATTCGTTGTTACAAGTTTGTTTCTCGATAAAAATGTTTATACGTTTTAAAAATAAATAAAATACGTATAAAAAATAAATACTTTTTGAATATGCTACTCTTGCAGATTGTTAAAAAGATCTCGTCTGTAAAACTAGTAGTAGAAAATACTTTTCAATGTTTCCATCTGTCTGGGATAGCTGTTTGTGATGAAGCTACTGTTGCTGCAGTATTTTTCCGCCCGATACCGTGAAGTAATATCACCTGGGGAAATTTTATTTGGGGCAGCGCACATTCTTAGCGTAGTTAAAGCAGACACTTGCTCAGTGCGCTGATAACGTCATAGCGTGGTGTTTCATAAAATTTTCACTTATGTGGCAAGGTCGCTGGCGAAGAAGTGGCAAAACCCGGTGTTTGAAACGTATTTGCGCAGCGCCTCGAGGCCAGCGAAGATCAGAATCGTGTTTCGGAGCAGGTGCTGTCGGATGTGCTCATTCGTCCAAAACTTCGTTCGCGCTTATTGGCAAATAATGAATTGCGGAATGGAAAGCAATAAAGAAGACAAATCAACGTGAATTTACAATACCGTTTTTTTCTTATAATTTCTTTTCATTTACTCAGCAAGACTACTGTTTTGCAAATATTTGTCTGCGAAAATCAGCAATGTAATACATACTTTTATAGAGGGTTTTTAACATTATCTACACTAAATTTTTTTTAGTATTTGTAAGTTATTTGTAGTCCATTAGTTACTTCTCGGGTTAATCATGTGCTGCAAATTGAAAGATGAAAAGTAAGCGCGTAAAATGTTTCCCCTACTAAAATTGCAGGTAAGAGAGGTAATTTAAATGCCTGATATGCACCTTCGGATTGGATTAAATTAGATTTTTAGTTTCGTTCAAGAAAACGTTTGCCATACGTGTGTTACAAGGGACAAAAAAACAGTTGCGCATTTCTACCTCTACGGGAAAGCAATCTTGCAACGACGAGACAAGTGTAAAGGAATGACAGATGTCAAGTGCAACGTGAAACGCTAATGAAATTTTCCTCTTTCCCGTTCGGAAAAACGCCAGGCACTGAAGTCACTATGTCCTTAGATTCCGAAAGTTTTCGTATGAAAAATCTTTCCGTAGAACATATTCACCCGCGTTTTAAAATTTTATTTCTCGTTTTAAACTTATTCTCTCATAAATCTTGACATCTGAAAAACAAATACGCGTATATTTTCTTCCGCGTGTTTGATATGATTCACGGGCACATGCGATGTGCGTGCTGTCTGGACGCACGCTCTTGCCTTTAAGGTATTGTGTGTGGTTATACCTGCATAAATATTTGAAGAATGCTATCAGTAGCTGCTGAGATAAATAAGGTGTAATTGGTGGGGGAAGAGGGAAGTGGGAGAACACGGCTCAACGTGTGTTGCAAAGATTGCTGGCTGGAGAGAGCGCCAGTGAATTGGACTAGTGATTAGCACATTTATCAAAGTAACATTGTCAAGCTAGTGTATTGCCAGCACGTGAGTGTTCAACATGAAGAAGGGAGTAGTGGTCATACAAAGTTACCATGTGAGTGCAGGGTACATCTTTTCAAATCAAAACTGCATTACCATTTTCATTTAAAGATTTTATTTTTTCCTGAAGAAATATATATAAAGTTAATTTTATTAATTTACAAAATACAAATGAACTAATGCTCAAAATTAGTCTTTGATTATGGTTAATTATTATCTTTTCATTCTTTCTTTACATATTAATTTATGTAGTATGTATTTCTTTATTTATTATAAAAACTATGGTAGTTATTATCTGATATTGTGATAGGAGAATGTACTCTTATGCTACATTTAGATGTGCAGAAGCAAGGCAAAAGATATGATATTGTTTTAATTTTTATTTTCAAATGTGTTGCATTTCTAATGTACTGTTTTTGATTTCAGGAAAGAAATTCTTCCTCACCTCAAGTTAATGGCAAGAATTCAGTTAAAGATAGAATACAAAGTATTGACTCTTTGAGACGTCAGAATTCTTCACCTCTGCCTGTAAGTACAGTTCGTTTTATTGTCTCAGAATAATATTTTTATTTTCATTGAAATATGAGGTTTTTTGTTTAAAGATTTTATTTCCATTTCATTTCAACATGATTTTCATTGATATTTGAGTTGAAAATTGTGATTTTGTGTAAAAATTATGTTTTAGTTTGTCTGGAAATTTTGTCTTGTAAATACTGAGACATGTAATTTTTTTTGGAGTTCTGTTCCTTTTTTCAAAAAATTGTACATACAGTTTCCAACAATGGCAATAGATAATATAATGAATGTATACTTCCTTTGATGTCTTCATATTACAATAAGTACACTTAATAAAAAGGATTTGAAATTAAGAAGTAAAAAACTTTCAAAGATTTGCATGAATTTTTTAGAATGTTTGCTTTGTTTGTACTAAATAAGTATAGGTTTTGTTTCATATGTACAGTATATTAACAGTCTGCTCATAATGTTTTGTTTCTTTTCAGGTTCTTTCAGATAATTCAGACAGCCTCACATGGTCATCCAAACGTTCTTCCTTTGATCAGTCTTCTTCACTATCATCAGGATCTTCAGGAGGTGCTTATGGGCAGCCACCTCCTTGCCCAACT